GGGCCCTATTGATCCAATTGAGCTTTCAGAGTTAGCGAAAGTATTATCTTTATGTTATGTTAGATTCCCCCTGATCTCCTCCTCCATTTTAGATATAATTAATCATCCCTGTCACTGGGATATGAACCTCAGGCTTTTAAGGTAGCTGTAATTTATGGCTGAAAATTTTTTTTTATCTGGGAGTCAATTCTCCACAAGCAGTAGTCGTGAAACCATGATAGGCCAATCAGCAGGTGTAGTCAGTGCTGCGCTGCACCAATGATGAGCGTAGAGGGAAATTACATTTTTTAAAAGAGGAATAAGAAAAAGGTAGGGAAATGTCTTTTACTTTTTAAAAATGCTCTTATTATCATAAAAAAAAAAAAGTACTCCATGCGCACATATTAGTAATAATTGGGAACTAATAGACATTTTGTGCCCTCATGTCAGTTCCTGACCCCCATAGAATCACTATATCTAAATATAAATAAGTTAATGTCATTTCTTTCTTTAGATCACAGTAACTTTATAAACAATTTACAGACCTTTACATTCTCTGACGATGCTGCGAGCCTCCTCAGGTAACGTGTTTGAGCTCATATTTGTGTACAGGGCCAGGATCTCCAGTGCCTTCTTATCATCCAGACCACTTTCTACTTCCACCTCATATTTTGGACCTAAAACATGAAAACAGAAGAGGAGATAAAACGCACTGCATGGGAAAAGCTGCAGATTTTCTTTTTCCTACTGCAACAAAAACAAAAAAGCTAAGCTGTGTTCGGAGGAGATTGCATACCGCTAACAGAGTCAGCGAGGCTTCGATTTCTGGTGGTCAGAAGAATCCGACAGTGAATGTCAAACACTTTAAGCACTGAGCTGTCCCAGATGTCATCAAGGATAAGTAGAGATCTAACAAACAAAACAGTAAAAAAATAAATAAATAAAAAAGAATTTCTGTTTCTGGTTTGACTGTTTTTTTTAATCAACATTTCATTTTATAGACCAACACAAAAATAGTCGATAACTGTGCTGTAAAAACACTGCATCCTTTAATTCTAAGTAGAAATAAAAGTAGTGGTTTTGAGCTGTAACAGAGGAGAATACGTCATCTTACCTGGGATACCTGCGCAGCATCAGGAAGCGCAGGCGCTCCTTAGCTTCATCGAGAGATGTGGGCGGCCGAATATTCGACTGGGAATCCTGGCTCTGCTCCAGACGAAAACACAGTGACTGGATCTTCACCAGCAGGTCTGGTTTCTCCAGCTGACCAATGGAAAGCCAATGAACCCCCCCTGGGAAACATTCTGTGGACAGAAGATGAGAAGAGGTGAGAAAATTTAAACTATTTGAACTTTTCCACTATCCGTTGCATCATGTTTCATTGAGTCATTCTGATTTTTTTCACCTTCTATGAGTCCATGGTCTCTGACGGCCTCAGCTGCAAGCACGGACTTGCCTGACCCAGCCATGCCAAACACGGTCACCCAGCCACCTGCATCTTTCTGGAGCAAATAAAGTTTCTCCCTGACCTTATTCAGCAACTCTGGTCTACTGACAAACACCACAGGCCTCTGCGGGACTCCACCTTCACTGAGCACACGCTGGACTGTTGGGAAAGGCAGGAAAGAGTTCATATAAGGCATCCATATTTGAAAAATTTTAAATATTAGGCTAAAAGATGAACTGAGCAGGTACCGTAACTAAAACGGAATGCACATGATTGCTTCAAAACTCAAACACCTACACACTGAAAACATAACATCTGAATTCCCCGCTCCTCTAGTCAACAACATCCCACTTCTCACCATAAGATAAACTGTCAAAAGAGCTTTTATTTCCATCCACCGACACGTCTGGTAGGTCTTTTTGCAGCAGTCTTGCCAGATCGTCATATGCCTCCTTAACCAGCGCATTGTAGAAGGAAATGAAGCAACGATTGTCTTTCTCCAGCACAAGCTTAATGAGCGCTGCAGCTTGGTCTTTTCTGGTGGGCTGCAGGCAGAAATAAACAATGACTCATGTGACCTGAATGGCACATCAGACACATTGAAAGCAAACTTAACCGTTCCATCACAGTGGTTATAGCTACTATATGCCTGGAAAGTTTTCGTTTTTCTCATGCTCGTATACAGCTATTATCTTACAGACATTACAAGAATGGAACTGATATTTACAAATAGAATTAGACAAATTATGGGGAAACCAAAGGAACCCTTCCACAAAGTCTAAAGAACTACTGATAAAGAGCAGGAAGGTAGTCTGGTATAAACAACTTGTAAAAACTTAGAGTAAGAGTAACTAATTATTCTGCTCAGCTTGGGTCACCTGAATCCTGATCTTCTCCTCCTCATCCACTGTCATCACACCATCACTGATCATGTGGTCCATAAGGAACTGGGGCTTGATGTCCTGCTCCAGTTGGTGGTGAAAGCGCATCAAGCTGCTCCGTGCCCGCTCCTCCAGGGCCATCTGTGCGGAGGTCACCGACCCTTCAGCAGCTGAAGATTTCATTAAAAAATTTACTGAGGTATTCGCTTAAAAAAAATGTTAAACCATTTCAAATAAAGTATTTTAATGTATTTAAAATTAAACCTATATCTATTGCAGTTTGCATAAACTAACTGTAGGAGCTATTTCTCCATTATTAAATCTTAAAATTTGGATTATTTAGTTTGATTTGTTATTTAGAATAGGATTTATTTAGAGATTCACTTATTTAGTTAATTAATTTTAGCTTGGGACGTGGGTGCTTCACAGTATAAATAGGGAGGTCTTAGGTAGCTCATTTTGCACGTGGGTGGTAATATGTTTTTTTTTTTACCAGTTCTCAGCCAGTTAATCAAACAGTGAGTCAATCAAAGAACAGGTGCAGGAATCAGAGAGATCAATAGAAGAATCCTGTGAGGCCTTTAACCTATTTGTACGTACGGAGAATAAAGCAAGCAAAGCACTGGATTTTGACCCTTTTTGATCTTTTTGGACTTCGTTAGCCAGAATCCACTGTTTTTTTCCAGTGGCTATTTCAGTTGAATTCACCTTTTGCTTTGATCACGTCTTAAGTTCTCCTGAATTGTAGTTTAGTACAAATATTCACTACACTTACATAAAAAACAGGAAAGTAAATGAAGGCCCACAGTACTACAGATCCTCCACTTTACTTAATAACAGTTATGAGAGTCTATGATTTACTGAAAAATGCAAAGCTGGCTGATTTCTTTTCTAAATTCTCCTGGACTAAAATCGTTGCTAAAAAGCAATAATTAAGGCAACCATGGCCTCATCAAAAGGTAATATGTTGCAAAAGGCTGAGCAGTAATGATGTTATGAGATGAGCTGAGGCTTCGAGATGTGTGTCATGATTCATTTAGGGGAGGGGCCAAAATTGATGATGACCAAAGCCTCGCTACAGTGATACCATGTGACCACTTCAGGAAGTGGTTCAGAAAGCTCAAGAATTTTGAAAGGCTTTGAACAGCCTCACTACTCGGTCAAGATGTGGGAGTTTGTGGGAGAGTCGCTGTCAGTTGGATAGAGTTTGAGTAGATTTGTTTTTCCAATCAATCTATTTGGTTAAAACTATTTTGGTTAAATTAAACAATGTAATGATCAAAATCTGCATAATCCACTGGACACAGTTGTAACTGTGTTAAGTAGTATTGCGCTCCATTGAATTGATATCAATGTTAGTGGCGTCATCTGTAAGACATAGGCTTCCACCCCTGAGGTTGCTGGTTCATAACCCACCTTTGACTTTTGAAAGTTGTGATGATACTTAAGTATTTTGGCTTATGAGACTAATTTGTATTGGTTTGCCCTAGTAAAAATATAGATTGGGTAATTGCACTGCCAAATTAGATTGGCTGAACTCATAACTTCCAACCTGATTACCAAAAACTGTGGAAACAACTATGTTTGAATAAAAATGACTAACACCTTTCATTTTGCTCATCACTGCCAAATTTTCACAAACACTTTCACTGTCAGCTTGAGTTTATTTCACTAAAATGTCAGAAAAACTGTGCACCTTAAATGATTACTCTCTTCTAAGACATTTTACACTAAAAAAAAAAAAAAAACTTACAAATGATTTAATTATACACACCAATCATTAACAATTTTAAAGGAACTTAAAAAGGGGGGGGGGGGGGGACAATTGCAAAAATTACAGATTTTATTACAAACTGTAGTTCTACTCGTTGAAGCAATCACTACTGAGTACCTTCATCCCAATATGCACAGATGCAATAATTACAGATGTAGCACAAATCCGTTATATAGTACATAGAAAGTGAATTGCATGAATGTTCTAGTTAACAGACATTAAACTATCATTATTCTTACACAAATATCCCAAAATAAGAATCTGACATTTGGGTTTGCATGAGGTGCCAGCCATAAGTACCACAACTACCAGTAGCCTGAAATAAACAATTATCTGCGTCAGACCCAACCCTGGTCCTCAAGGCACACTGCTCTGCATCTTTTGGATGTTTCTGAGCTTCAGCACACCAGATTCAGATGATTGCAGTTCAGCAAAGCCTGATAATCTGCTATCAATTGATAACAGGTGTGTGGAAGCTGGGAAACATCTAAAACATGCAGGGCAGTGTGCCTTGAGGACCAGGGTTGAAAAACACTGCGTTAGAGATCGTGGTAATGCATTAGTTTCACTATTAGAATGCAAGGACACACTGAAAGAAAAAGAGGAACATGAAAGTACTGAAAGCGAAAATATGACAGGGCTTATCAGATGCCCACCTGTTTTTAAGGTGACTAACTTCTCAAATCTACAGCTAACTTTTAAACGTCCATAAAGTCAAACAAATAACGAGAAACTGAACTTTAATACTTAATATAATAAACAAAAACCTATTTAATATCTAATAAACTGAGCTTTTAAAGGTATTTCTCAAGTCCATACACGACTTAGGCAGAGACAAAGAAAGCGGCAGGAAACATGTACTCACTGCTGTCTTCTGTGAAGAAATTTGGTGCTATGTGTTGAATTGTGACCGTCGCAGTTAACGCTCCTAGTTAGAAGATCCGAATGCTAGAAAAAAAACATAGCTTTCTATTTTAAAGTGACGCTACACGCCCAGTTTAAGAAGCGAGCTTCCGGGGTTTACAGCAAAAACAACTACTCCGGTTTGAGATAACCAATCACGTACCGATATGTCGGCCACGTGAGCAGTGACCTCACGAATTAACGAAGCAGTAACTGGGCAAACAGCTGCTGCGTTCAGGTAATTTTCTCCGCGTCGTACATTTCTAACGTAGCCAATTTGTTAAAAAATTTTTCAGCAAGTAATGTTTCTAAGACATCCATATAACAAAATACAACAGATGTTTAGCAAATTGATTTGTTGCACCGTACTGTACGCATGTACATTTGGCGTCTGCGAATGTATCTAAAAATAAAAGATTAACCATCCTTCAGATTTTGTTTCACGATTCTGGGGTGATAATTTTGTGATTTTAATATGTGTGTGTTTTCAACTCAATAGTTCAATTAAACCTAGTCTGATTAATATAGGAGGAAATAAATCAGTTTAAGCACGATGGTGCCTTAAAAGTTAACTTTCCAGACAACACCCAAAGGTAACTGGTATTGCTTGATGACAGCTACAGATTGCGTTTGTTGTTTGTGTGTTTTTCTGTGTTTGGTACGTGTTTGTACAGGATAACTTGAAAAGTTTGTTGATGACCCAGATTATAATCTCTATAGTTTTTTATTCATTTATTTTTATTATTATAATTTTTTAAGATTCTCCAACATTATGAAATAGTGCCATTTGGTGGAACAAACAGTTCCCCTCTAATCCAGAGGGTGGAAGCAATGAGTATTGACAGGCTAGTATTCAGCAAAGATTAATTTTATAGCAAACAAAAGCATATCAAATGGTTGGTTTGTTATCAGGATCAACATAAAAACTTCTGAACAGATTTTTTTTATTTTTTATTTGCACCTCATGACAAGAACTAATTAATTAAAATCTGGTAATGATCAAGATCGTGTGCAATTTTAACTGGCGTTGCGGCAATACCATTTTTTGGCCCCGATAGCCGAGACCTGGCTTTGCCGTATCGGCCGATACCATACCGATACCATCTGTTTGAAATTGATATGTGTGTGTGTATATATGAAGAACTGCATACTACTTGGATGTAAAATAATTGCCATCATGGCTGTGTCAAGCTGCTGCCTACCTTTGTGAAGCAGGAAAAAAAAATACTAATAAAAAGTGAATCCAGAAGAACTTTTTATTGCCTAATGGGTGACAATAGTTGAATAAACTTTTTGCTATATTATTAAAGTATTTCTGATTCTGATTCTGATTCTGATTGCTCTCAAAAATTGTATTGGTGCCCTATTTGTTGGTACTCGCCGATACCAATACCACCATTTTAATGCTGGATCGGGGCCCCGCCTGATACTGGTATCGGTATCGCTGTAACACTACTTTTAACAATAGGTGTAAAGTCACAACATGGGTCAAAATGTGTGGTTTGGTGGAGATCTGCACTCTAAAAGTGCTTTTTTATATTATTCTGCTACCGGTGCTCAATTCTGCAGCTTAATATTATTTCTTAATACTTAAGAAGACATTTTTTTTTGGTTGTAAGGATCCGGTTAGCAATTTACATCACACAGAAAATCTTTAATATCACACTTGGTTTATTTAGTTTCCACTATTCACACTTCTTATTCAAGTTTTTTTTTTTTTTTACATCAATTGTGGTACAGACAAAAACTGATATAAACCTCCCACATCTGTCTGTAAACTGCTTTTCTTTGTGCATTTTAAGGTTTTCAGAGGTTTTCAGGACATTTTCAAACTCTCAACTCAAACTATGAGTTTAGCACCTTTTTTTTTAACTTTTTTAAACAACAAAAAAAAACACAAATACTGAAAAACATTATAAGGTGTACAATGAAAAACAAACTATATAACATGCCGTCCACTGGCAAATGTGTCAACAATACAAGTAAAAACATAACATGTGGCAAAGAACTCCAACACCAAGCTACTCATGCAAACAGGAAATTAAAGTTCTGACAGTTAAACATTTAAGCACTGAATGTGGCACTTACTATATACAGCATGATAATACCAGAACTAACTTAAATATTCAGTTTCTTATACTTGTATCAGTAATAAACACCTTGGATATGCAAGGAATCTGTAACACTTCTCTACCAAATCTCTAAAAATATAAGCATCTTCTCTGTCTTGCTTTACATTTGATTATATGTGTTATAAAGATGTGCCCTTTGTCGTCTTATTTACAGCTTTGAGCAAAAAGGGGGAGGAAAGAAATAAAGCTGGATGTCAGATAATGTTCAGAAATGGAGTATTGTATCACTGAGTTTGTGCTCTGAAACTAAATGTTCACAATTCAGCTCACAATTAAAGCTGTTCTAGGATTTACTGTAGAAATGTTGAGATACAAATTGTTAGGTTTATTCAATGATGATAATTAAAGTAATGTTTGTTCATATGAAACATTGTAGAAATGAGATGCTTCACTCCTGTCTCATGATTCAGTAGGGAGACCATCCTGCCTTGTCATTCTAGTCGAGCATCCTGTCTTTATGAACTGATCAATTGTTCTGTCAGAGAGATACTCTGTTTGTAACCATGTGTCATGTTCTGTTAATAAAACGCTCTGCAGAGGATGTCCGATGCGAGACAGTGTGTTTGAATCTGGGGTTCAACTGTCTCTTCTTCTGCAGAAGCCGTATGAAAAATACCTTACTGTGTATTTCAGTTCTTCTTTTGCAAACCTACATTTATGAACCCAACACAAATAAAAACTGGAGACAATCCAGTTGCATGAAGCACAACTGACTACTTTGACCTTGTTTGATATTTGAGCTTTTTTCAGTCAAAAACATATGGTTGGTCTAACTGCTACCAAACAGCAGCTTCTTGATGATGTCCAGGTAGAACGGTCCATAGACAGCCCTGTTGTTTTCAATCAGGAAGATGAATGATTTTCCCGTCAGTATTAATTCAGGCTTGATTGCGGCCAAGCCTGCTGGTACCTGCTCAAGTTTGTTCTTGGTGTTAGGGTTGGAAAGGAGCGCCGCAAAGTACTGCTGCACTCGATCCTCTGCAGAAAGGATATGACAAAATCAGGTCAGATTTAAAAAAAAAGTGCACTATTTAGGGTATTTATCACACCTAGATGCAAAAAATCTTTCATGTGAAAATTCAACACTAAATAAACTCAAATTTCTACAGATTTGGGGTCTTTACCAACCATTTTTAAAAGTAAAACTACATATTTATTTTTAAGTCTTCAAATGTTGGACTAGCAGACAATGCAGAAAGTTGGGTTGTTTGATGCAAAGATTGATGTTTTAATAGAAAAAAAAACCCCAACAACAAACAAATGACAGTTATTTACTGTACTAAAAAAAAGAAGAAAAGATTAAGGTAGAAGCAGCTCCCTGAGTCACTTTTATTAGATCCTTACCAACAAGAGTACGGATGGGGTTGTCCTTCTGGCTGATGCTGCAGATCTGTCCTGTAAGTGTGGTCTGCATCTCTGGGGTCAGTGGAGGGTAGCCTCTCACTGTCAAAGACTTGTTGAGCTCACAGCCTATCTGAGCACTGACACCCTCAAGTGTTTTTTCCAGATTAAAGTCTCTGTAAATAGAATGAAAGTTTAATTCTCCTGAAAAAGATAATGATTCATGTGTTTGAATGTGGGGATAGAAATGAGGATGAACTGACGGTCTATGCATGCCCTCTAGCAGAACACTGATCATCTTCTTCAGGCAGTCAGAGAGCGAGGAAATCCCTTGAATCGGCCCCCTAATGGTGCTGTTCACAATCAGCAGCACCTCATTCACCGTCTCTAACAGCTTCAGCTGCCTCTGAATCTCCTCCAGACGGGATTCGTCCATTACCCAAGTCTACAAAACCACAAAGAAGCAATAAAATACATATGTTTAGATACCCTTAGGACAGGGGTCGGCAACCCGTGGCAACCTGGAGCTTCTTCAAAAGTTTATTAAAAAGATTTTCTTTTTTAGTTTGTTTATTTATTTGTATAATAAAGATATTTAAATGATAAATGTAAATATTTCTGTCAGCGAAGATTTTAATCATACCCTGCAACACACGTTGCAGTGCTGTGCAGTGACAGGCAGGTGGATGTTGAAAACAAAGGGGAAAAAAAAGGAAGATAGATGATGAAAACAGAGGATTCAAAGAAGGATGGACCGAATCATTGGCTTTAATTACCAATGTGGTAGGATTGCCTGCATGTTTGCTTTGTAATGAGAAGTTGTCAAGTAGAAAAAAGATTCATGTTAAACATGCAGCCGGTCACCAAGTTGGGAATGAGAGAAAAAGTGCGATTGCAGAACTTCTGGATAAATCAGATGAGTGCAAAGATAGATTTAAGAAGTGGAATGCATCTCCAAAATCCACTACTGCAGCTAGTTTTGTTGCAAACATGGAAAACCGTTCACCGATTGAACAGGTAGCGATCTTATGCAGGTATGTGAACTTTCTACCATTTTTTCCCCCAAATCCTCAAAATAAAAATGACACCAAAATCTGATTTCTTTATCATGTTTCTATAATTTCATCAATGTAATAAAACCTAATACATGAAACCACGTGGTGAAGGGGCGGTGAAGAGCGTTCAATCCTCCTCAATCACCTGGTGCTACTATGGAAATTATACTTAAAGCACCGAATATCGTACAGCAGAGTCACATGATGTGACATTTGCTCCAGAATAAACATTTAACCATGAATGCTTATTATATATTTAAGCCCACATAGTTCTTTTTTAAAGTGGACTAATGCACTTAGCTGTCATGCCATATCGGGCTTATATAAGACTTTTACATTTTTGCGGCTCCAGAAAGATTTATTTTTTGTTTGTTTTTTTTGGTCCATTATGGCTCTTCGAACTGTTCGAGTTTCCGACCCCTGCTTTAGGGCTCTGTCACACCTTACCAATTTAGACAGCGTGTGCCCGACTTTCCCAGAATCTCCTAAAACCCAGGCATATGCTAAACTTTCCATGTACTTTTTCAATTTTGGGCATAAAAATAGAGTATTTATAACGAGTCCAGAACTTATGTCCAAAGACAGCCTAACTTATGCATAACGCACGGCAGCATAAAGCCCAACAAATGATGCACAAGCATCATTTGATGGGCATTTTGAAGAAAGTTAAAGCTCCCCCAAAAAAAGGAATAAATAAAAAGATAAAGAAAGAAAGAAGGTTTGCAGTCGCAGCAGATTCAGTCATGTCTGCTAGGAAGTTTGTTGGTCGTGGCCGTGAATGCAGGGAGGATCCATCACTCTCACTCTCTCGCTCACCCTATGATGGTGATACAGTTTGGAGAAGAACTGACGTTTTCCTCCTGTGAACCCCCTTTTATACCAAAACACTGCCAATATGGCATTATACAGTAGCTGTAAGTTAGAAACACGTTTAGCGGTCACCTGGAACACGTCAATTACGTTGATATGCATTTGACATAAGTTCTTGATAAGTTACGCTTAAGTTATGCATAAGTTACTCGCACACATCCAACATATGCCAGCGTTTTTTCCAGATTTTTCATACGTCAGGCATACGCCGGCTAAATCGTCAAGGTGTAACCAGGGCTTTAGGATGAATGTGGAGCAAATTTTTGTTTCGATAAAATGAGGAAAAAAGCTAAACAAAATAAAAGGAGGATACATAAACAGAACGGATTACCTCAGGCACTGGAGTCTTAGAAAAGTCCCAAGTGAGGAGACTGAGGCAGGCTGTATTGAGGATTTGGTTTGGACCAGGAAGAGTTTGCTGCCCTTCCCTGGGATCAGACTTTGCTGGAGGGACGGTTGCCGGCAGCAGCTCCTCCAATGCTGACTTGATCCAGGCGGTGGTGCGGTCTAAAGCAGCTAAATACAAAACAGTTTTGGTTCTAACTTTGGGACTTATTTATTTCACACTATTCCGAGAAATAACACTTTTTTTCTTTACTCACTCGGCGTTTTGTCCAAGATGCCCTGAAAAGTTTCTCTCTCGTATTGAACCCCGTTCCTCTGCAGAAGAGGTTTTAGGCTTTGAATTGTAAGGCTGACATGGTCTGCTCTCATCAGGTTCAGAACACGGAAGATCTCCCTTGTGAGCACAAGAAAAATCAAAAGGCATTTTATTTTTGTTTTACAAACTCAACAAATATAACAGCTTTTCTCACTTAAATGCATAAAAGCAAACAGTTTTATTTACTTGAATAGTGTAACAATGTTGTCTGTGCTTTCCTGTAGCTTCCTGATTTCTCCATCCCTCACTGGAGCACACATCTTTCCCATGGTGGTAATGATATAAGACGCAAGTCGCTGGATGTCTACAGCTTCATTTTCAGCCTGCTGACGAATTAGGTCCATGTCCAGCACCTCCATGATCTGGGTCCGCATCCGATTGGCACCCGGGTTAAGGAACGACAGCAAGATCTGTAGGGAAGGGCAAAACACTTAGGTTGAACGTCATTCTATGCTGACCATATTTGGGTTTTTAACTCACAGACACAAGAGAGAGGAGGCAATCTGGTTTGAACTAATGTAAAGAAGCTGCTAACATCCGATGCAGCACTGACCTCTCTGATCTCCTCTAATAATTTAATGGCGTGCTGATACTCAGGCGGGTCGTCGTTCAGCTCAGTCTCCAGGATATCCCAATAGGCCTTTTGGACATTATCTCTTACTGCATTCAATAAACTGCAAAAAAACAAACTATTCACTCTGTAGAACACAGTGAACACAAATGCTGCAGTGTGTGACTTTTGCCATGAATTTTATATCTAATAAGCTGATTTAGGTTTTTGGATTCTAAGAAGCAGCTTTCAGGTTACTAGCAACTGTCAGCTTTTTATTTACTGCTGGAATTAGACTTTAAATTATTTGGAAACGACTTCACAACCTTTTACAGACCAGAACGCAGCAGCAATCGCTTCTCTAAGATCACTGCTAAAACTCTGCATTTTTGTAGAAGTAACACCACTCTTGAATCTTAAAGCTACACCAAGGGTATACTTAGTATTTTATATGAATCTTCAACTATTTTGTTCAATGCTAGACTTAAAAAAAAGCATTTTTCCCCCTTATTTGATCAGTTATTACCATAGAAAGATATGAGAGAAATTAACATTAAATTCCATTTTAGTTCCCATTGGACACAGACAAACATACTTAAATGGATTATGGGAAGTACCTGTTCTGTGGTCCTCTGTTTAGGTCCAAATGGAAATCAAAATTGGCAATCTCATGTGCAAGTTTGAGATTAAAAAGTTCTCTTCCAGCCTCCATGACTTCATCTAGAGACAGGGTTTTGGGTGGACTTGCTGTGGGAAGAAAACATAGTTATTAAAGCCATGGAAAGGTATTAATTGATAAATTTACAGCAGTTTAAAGTAAACACCATCTTGTAAAATAGAAGCCAGCTACAAGAAAAGTAGAGAAAACAAGTGATGGACAACTTGAAAAACTTGCAAATACTGAAATGGACTAACAGGAAGGTGTGCTTTGTTTGCTGGAGCCGTCGCTGTTGAAACTGTCACGAGAGCAGTCTTGGTCACTAGTGAGCGATGACTCCACATCGCTGCTTTGGTCCTCACTCCTGGATGATGAGTTGGCCCTCTCATCATTTAGAGGCATCCTGGTTTACAGCTGCACAGGAGATATTCATAAAACACAAGGTCTTGCCAAAATTCCCTTTGAATCAAATTTTCTCTCATCACAATTTAAAAGGTACTTTATTTTATTATTTTTTTATGAGATAGACCACATACTGTGAGGATTGTTTTGAAGTTGAGGGAAGCGATTCCTTAAATAACTCTTCTCCTCCACTACTAAATTCCCAATTATTGAAGCTTAAATTTCCACTTTTCCAAATTTTTAACAAGTTATAAATCTGGGGTATACATATCAGTTGATTCAGTTATGAACTGTCCTTAGTGCCAAACACATAAAATACCATCTCATCTAAACAGCATTAAACTGCCGAAGAGGAAGAGGGCGAAAATTTTTTGTTGCCTATGACTGCATCAAAAACACTGCTACACACAACAGCTGGTAGGCTGGTTACCACAGATACGGCGATAGCTATTGAAAGTGATACCACTCGAGCTATCGAACACAGAGGATTTCAACAGGATGTAGTGTTAAACTCAGACAACACATAAGGGATGTGCTTAATTGTTTGGTTTTAGCCTCAAAGGAAAACATTAAAAGACGACTCTCCAACAGAAAGCTGGTAAAATGACATAACAGGGGGGATCATTTTACACCTGACCATTCGCCGTCTGTTTGATAGAGCAGTATATCACCCCATGGGGAGCATTACTTTGCTTTTATTAGCAAAAACACCGAGTACAGGACATGCAGAGGGAAACTTGCATCGTTTTACTTCCTGGTCTCAGTTATCTGCAGCCAGATATGAATACATGCTCAGCTCTGGCAGTATAAAGATAGCTCAAGGGGTGAGCATGAAGGGAGGGAAGGGGGGGTTAACAAGATTAAATTCTGCAAATGATCATCAGCTAAAACTGACAGCTAAATCAAACTGAAGCAGCATTATTTTTTTTAAAGATAATCCAGTAGGTTTGAGTGGAGCAAGATAATTAGGGATTAGATGTAATCTTTATTAGGAAAATCCCTTTTGGATGTTTTCTGAATATGTAGAACTAAATGTTGGCTCAAAATAATGCAAACCAGGCTGAATTAATATTCTTTAAACATGAAGAAAAAATTAAATAACAATGTTACACAGTTTTTACATTGTTATAATTACATGTAACAAGTGACATATTTGGACAAAAGTATAACAATTTCCATCAATGTTCAATAAACAGAAAACAATAGACTAAAATTGTGTTTTACATTAAACAATAATAAAAGCTATTGAAAAGGATCTGATTATTTAGTCTATAATCAAAACATTAAACAACCACATTTTAGAATGATAATATACCAATATTTTCTTCAATTTAATGTAGTTGCTGCAACAATGGGGTGAAATAAATACTAAAATATCTATAGATTTATATAATGATCACCTAAAAGACCAAATATTACAGCAGAATAATGTAAACAAAGCATTAAATAAGGAAGGAGGGGCAATCTACAGAGGAGCTTCTGCTATTGGCTGCTGCTGCCTGTCAATCATCCTGCCATGGAAAACCTTTGGTTGTCTAGTTCTGCACATGGATAAAAAATATCCACACATACGTAAGAAATTAGTGCACGTGATCAGAGCTACTGACCAAAACAAGAACCTTGTGTACATTTGAGGCCGTAGGTTAGATTTTAACTCATAACATCTGTTTGTGCAACGACTGAATGCATTCAGTTCAACTCGGCGAACACGGAGCGAAATGTCAAACTCGACAATAATGTTTACATTTAACTGAATGTCTCGTGAAGCATACAGGCTGTGTTTTTCTTGGTCCAGCTGTCAAAGATCAATGCTTTTGTTTGCCTTAACGTCTTCGACTTTCAATCTAATACTGTACTTTTATTTCCGCTTTAAAACAAGGTGACACTCGGTGGTAATAGTCAACGTCGTCAAAAAAACAGCTATTGAATTGGACGGGATACTAAACTATAGAGTATCCTTCACAAAAATAGGATTTACCTCATGGAAGTTCGCACAAAAGAAGACTGAAACTGTCTCAGCAGCGTCGAGTTCAGCTCTATTTGCCGTTTAAAGGTCCCAAGCTCCGAGTCTAATGGTTCAAACCATTTCACTCATGTTGGTCTTTCAGTGCTAAACAAGCTAACAAACAACATCTTATTTCACAAAATAACTGATATCTACATTTTATAGTATGTGCGACACTAATGTAAGTGGTAAGGAGGTTCGAGAAGGATACTATTGGTTAAACGTAAAGTTGCAAATGTCATATAAAATGGTATTGTCCAATCTGCCTCACAACCCAGGGGTACGGCAAACCATAGTATCATATAATCAGACAGCTTGTTTATCTGACTTTTTAACCATTAAGAATGTATGATGACTTATACAGATTTATTTTGTCATTTTGTGTACGCAAACGGAAATTTCGTTAAGAATAGCTCTCCAGATAATTTAATTTTTTTTAAAGTGCATACTTGAAAACAGCAAAAAAAAAAAAAAAAAAAAAAAAAAAAAAAAAAAAAAAACGTAAAATAAGTAATACAATCATATGACTGTATATTTACAGTTCTAACATTTCAGGCTTTTTTAAGAATATTTTCTTTAAAATAAAAATAGGGGCTGCTCAATGGCACAGTGGGTAGTACTGCTGCCTTGCAGCAAGAAGGTTGCGGGTTCTCTTTCTGCATGGAGTGTGCATGCTCTCCCTGAGCATCCATTGGGTTCTCTCCGAGTACTGTGGCTTCCTCACACAGTCCAAAAACAGGATAATGTTAAAAATAACAATAAGACTTGGACTCAGGCAACTTTTATTGTCATTTTGTATACACAACACACAGTGTACACAACACGAAATTTTGTTTTGTACAGCTCCCATGACATTTCTATTTCTTAAAGTGAACGGCATATTTTGTGGAATTGTCGAGAGCTATATCAAGTCGCTGCCGCCATGATGAATGTTCAACAACAATAACAAAAACAGTAATACAAATATAAAATCCATTATTCTGTTTTTCACAATAAGGCATTTAAAACATCCAGAATATGCTTGTCCTTGTCTTCCATTGTCATCTTAGATGACTCAGACAATGTTATAAAATACATGATTTTTTTTTTTCGTGAGCTTTTGACCTTAGACTTTAAACTTTACATAATACCATTTAAAAGGCTCTGATATAGTACAAGTCTAATTTAAAGTTTTTTAAGGCTGATCTGTTTTATGATCTTAAAACATACTAGATTTGTATAGCTACATAAGTGCTCATTTAAATGTGGGCAGGACAAAGAAAACTCCAAGAGTATATGTTTGTTTGTGTTTAACTATTAAATGATAAAGCTGACTTCCATTCACCTAGAAAGGACGTTTTTTTGTTTACAGACCTTTCTCGTCGAGGTGTAACTCTTTTCCTCGCCGCTTGGGAGCAGCAGTGTGTGCCTTATTACCATGTACCAACGAAGAAGAATATAGTTGTATGATGGCGGTTGATTTGACTCCACGGTTTCGAAGGTTGAATAGTCAAACGAGAAGTCTCAGAGAAAATACACCGAATGGTAAGATTTTAGCGAACAAATATATTTATTTAAAATAGCCACAAAAACTTTGAACTGGAATATATCTTTATATAAATAATTTGAATAGCTACCTCCTCTTAGCTCGATGTTGTTTTGCACTTCGAACCCTCAAAGTGGTTTTTTATCTGTTTTTCTTTAGTCTAGGGAAGAATTATAACTGATCTCTTATTTTATAGCATCTAACTACAGACCTCAATAACGAAATGTAATATAACGGAAGTTTACTCTGTTTTAATTTTGCTGCTTAAAAAGCGATTATGAAATTCCTCTGGAAAGTGTTAATATAACTGGTTTTCTAACATTATAAATTTCCCAGTTTTCCCTGACCTGCTTCCTTAAACCTTCTGAAGAACCAATCACCATATCATGATACCGCCACCTACGTGCCACGCCATCTTTCTTGTTCTCCATGTAAACCAAAAAAGTCCTGTGAACTTTTTGTCTTTTGGTGTTTCCACAGTGCTGTTTGTTCACTAATGTTCTCTGAAAAACCTCAGATCAGCTGTAGTTGTAGGGAAATTAAATTATGCACAGTTTGACCCTATTTAGCTGATTCATCAAAGCAACGGGCTTGTTTTATTTAAGAGTGTTAGACTAAGGATGAAAGATTTTCTGCTACTATTTTATTTCTAAAATCCTAATATTCCACCTTGTGTTGATCCGTCTTATATGATCCTCCAAAACATTACCTTTATGTTGTCAAAAGTGAGACAGTTCTTGGGTTATGGACACTTTCGCATGGCACTCTTTATCATTTTGAGACATACAACACACCTGCAGCACCTTTTAGAGATCATCCCCTATTTGAACTTTCAGATTTCATGTTTGCTGGTGAAGATTCTCAGTCATCTAGGTCGTAGTCGTTTTCACAAAAGTTAAAAAAAACAATCCACTGGACTTTGTTTCCAAGTTTGGAAACGTTTTGCTTCCCATCATGGACACTTTTTCAATTCAGGATTTCAGAATAGCGTTGAGTTCGAGGCTTTATAGAGTGGACTTGTTCAATTTACATGTTTTCTAAGTCAAAACAAGGCTTTGTTTTTTTGGTTCCTTCTATAAAGCCTTGAACTCAACGCTATTCTGAAATCCGGAATTGAAAAAGCTGCCTGGATGGGAAGCAAAACGTCTTCAAACTTGGAAACAAAGTCCAGTGGATTGTTTTTTATCTTTTTTTTTGCAAAGAATTCATCTTTTTTTTGTAAATAATCATTTTTAGGACAGAGTTTGATACTTACCCGTTACCACTTTTAAAGAAACCCCCTTTTAAGTCCACCCAATTTGAACCATGATCTTCCAACAGATTTCTCAAGGCCTTTCGGTGCGACTCAGCTTTGGCAGAACATCATCCATGCCCTGCGGACTCAGGTGGAGGTGCGTCGCCACAGGAAGCACCTCCGTGTTCACACCGAATGCTTCACCGGCTCGGACGCCGTGGATGCAGTTCTCAGCTACCTGATGCAGAACGTGGTGTTCTGCACCAGCGAGGTGTCGCGCCTCAAAGCTGCTCGGCTCTGCCAGGCTCTGATGGAGGCCAAGGTGTTTGAGTCGGTGGGCACAAAGCTTTTTCGCAGAGACAAAGAGGCGACTTTTGAGGACAGTAGCGGCAGTCTTTATCGTTTTATGGAACAGAAGACCATAAATGGTCCTGCCATCAAGGAGGACAGCAGGGATGCAGAAAACATTCTTCTAGATGAACATGAGACAAAGAGGAAGAAGATCTCAAGGTTGGATCAAATTTTATTTTCTCAGAAGTGTGATTGTGTCTTATCTTAACTTTGTTGTTCAGATGACATTCATGCAGTCTGATTGAGCATGGACGTTATATTAATTAACTTTTATTTAATATTTCCATGTAAATAATCTTGGTTTTTATGTATTTGTAGTTTATGAGGATTGGTGACTTCCCTCTTTTTTATTGTTAAATCCACTACGTGAAAAGCTAAAGTATACTTGGCAGCAACCGGGCTCCACAGCATGATGTTGCCTACGCCGTGCTTAACAGTTGGCTGATGGGAAGCCAGCTTTGTCTTTCGACAAAAACAAAAATTTCTTTCGGTTCTTCCAAGATGTTGTTGTGCCTTTAAACTCCGAATATAGGAGATTGATTAGGATGTTTAGAACAACCGAGACTTAATCCGCTGCTACATTAACTTCATGTCATTAACTGAATGATTTAAATGATTCTGAACAGGAGTGTGTTGGTGAAAATAGCTTGTACTTACTATGTATATGTGGCTGAATGTTTAGATGTTAGCCTTACTACTGTGGCCTGTTGCGTATCAGAAAACGTTCAATACTAATTCAAACCTGTGCAATTAATAGTTCTTTTGAGTATATAAAGTCAGGTGTTGTTCTTTCCCTCCACTCTTCTTGCCCTTTAGGCTTAATGAAATGAGGACCTTCTCCAACCCTCTTGCCGTCGAACCATCAGACAGGAGAGTCGAGCGGCTTTTCCGGACCATTAACCTGCAAACGTCCTTCTCCCCTGTTAGGAACAGAGCAGCCTCCGCTTCCAACTTCTTGTCTAAAGCTGGTAATAATAGAACAGTTTGGTTTTGGGATGTTATTATTTTAGTTGTTTATTTGTATTTTTTCCCTCTTACCGCAGTGGTGGATGAGGTTTGGAAGCAGCAGACCCTCCTGCAGCTGCTGCTGATCATAGAGCTGCCAGTGTTGGACTGCATACTCACCTCTCCTGAAAGGCTTCGGCCTAGAACCTGCAGGGCTCCTCTGGCCAACTGTGACCTGGTTATCTCTAACACCTGTCTGGAGAGAGACCTCCCTGACTCACTTAGCCTCCTTCAGTCCGTACCTGATCAAATGTTTAAACACTGACCCTTCGCAATGTGTGTTGGGAGGATTTTGAATGTTTCACCCCCTTTTTCTCCCCTCAGAATGGATTCATGGCTTACAGCGGCAGCAGACTGCCTTGAGCTGTTTCCAGATCAGCTGATTATGGTCACAGGGGAAAATCTCAGCCAACAAAGTGGTGACAGTGCAGAGCAGAAGAGACTCCTCTTTGACACCATTTCCAAGTATTACAACGGACAGGAAAAAGCGCCACTAATATCAGGACGCTACCTGGATATACATGTCGCAATTCTGCATTTATTGGGTAAGAGCAGGCCTGCAGATGTAGGATGACATGTGAAGGGTTGAAGTATGAAGTTGTAGTTTCTAAAGCCTTTAGTTGGTTCTTTAGATGATGGGAAGACGCGGGAAGCCGTCAGAGCGTCTCAGCTGTGTTTGCGGCTGCTGGAGACGAGTGTGAGGGATGAACTGAGGAGACTCCTGGCCTTCATGGCTGCTGCTGCTCAGTCGGAGGCTTGTCGGCTGCAGAAGCAGGTAACAAAAAAAAACTGACCTCCCAGCTGCTTTTCCTCTGTATCTGCATTTTTAATATGTTTAAGAAAAAAGCTCCTATATTGATTGTTTTCGTTGATAGAATTAGAGCTGATTGACTCACTTCAGCCTGTTTATTTCTTTAGGTTGACAACAGGACTTTTGTCTGCCGCACTTTTCAGAGAGCTCTTGTTCAGAGCCATGAACTCACTCGACCTCAGAGCGAAACCCTGGTACTGTTTCTCATGGACCATCATGCTGAACTCTTTAAGGTGCGTTGCTTTTAGGGCCATTTGTTAGATTTCACTTTTAGATCCAGGAAAATCCTTCTGTATCTCACAGCTTTATCAATCTTGTGCAGAAACTAAAAAAAAACGGAACAAAAGGAACCAAAAAACCCTGGAAAAAGAATTAAAAAACCAATAAGAAAACCACACTTTAATGTACGTTTATCAGGATTTTCAGTTTTTGTCCTGCTTTAAGGTGAACATCTAAAGTAAGTCTATAACAGATATTTCTTTTTCACATTTTTTCCTTATTTCCATCCCTCTGCTCAGAGTGATGTTAACTGTTAGTTCACCACAAACTTTAACAACAGAATTAAGGGGTGCTGCATCCAAATGAAAGTCCACTTTTTAAAGTTTAAAGAAATGTACTTTAAATATTTTTGTAACATTGTATAAAGATTATTTTCTCTTGTATTTCCTCCCTGGCTGCTTGAAAGACTCCTGCAGCACTTATTGAAGCGGTGAGAAGAGCATTAAGGACCTTGCAGCAGGGGAAGGACCCAGATTCAGTTGCTAGTAAGTTGAACTTTGATGAAGCTGTAACATGTCATCTAAAATAAATCAGTTTTGAATTAATTTTTCTTTTCATTTTGTAAAGAAATATTTTTGTGCATTTGATTTAGATATGCAGTCTGAATTTCTAACTGCAGAAAGTCATAATCCTTGCAATTCTAAAGTTGTTTTTATGTCCACTTGGGGGCGCTGCTGCTCCAGGTTTCACCTGAATGGTAAAGTAATTTAAATGCAAAGTTAATACAAACTGTTCCCTCTGTTTTGCAGCCTTTACTTTCTGCCAAAGGGTAACCCGGCAGGAGTATGAAGATCAGCGGGAAGCCAGCACTCTTGAAAGTCTCAAAGAGCTCCTCTGTCACATTTCATCCAACACGAGCATGGCTGCAAAGGAGAAGAGGAAGCTGCTCAAGGAGTTTGAAAAACATCACCCAGTGGTCTTCCTCCAGCATTTTTCTTACTCTTTCTAAATCAAATGCTGTCAAAATTTAATTTGATATGTGAAGAAAATTGAATAATTTTAACCAAAATTTGCAAATCAAAGTAAAAAAAAGAAAGATTATCCTAAATCAAATTAATGTTGAGACTTGTTGCTTTGTGTTTGAGTTGTTTTAGGAAAGCATATAATGAAACGAAAATGGATAAAGGTAGGAACTTTTGTTATTTGAAACTTGATTACGATAAACCCCGCTTGATGTTTTAATTTAACATTCTTCCTGTGCAGTGTTATAACACATTTATATGTAAAAATATCAGTTGGAAAAAAGTTTTTGTAGCTGACCTTGTTTTGTTGCATCAAAAGGTGTAAGAAAAGGGAAGGAAAATAATGACACTGAATTTTGTGGTATAAATCTTTTTTCTTTTTTTTTTACTTTTACATTAGATTTAAATGAAATGAAGGCTAGATTAATGGGTTATTATGGTAGTACCTCAGGGTAACATTTCATTTGTAGGTTCTCAGGACATTTAGTGCTACTAACTATAAAGTTTATAATTTAAACTTTTAAATACTTGAATTGATATAAAATTAAGTGAGTATTATAAACGACTTGGTGTAATTTTAGGCCGCTAATGTATTATTTGATGAGATTGGCTGATGCATTTTGATTTTATTTTTATTTTTGTAAAACAATGTTAAAAGAATGACTCTAATTGTTTTTCTCCTTTTATAACACTGAAATAATTAAATAATGCACTTTATGATGTTGAATTAAAGCTGTCCTCCCAATTAAGGAGTGCATTTTCTTGTAATTATTATTTTTTTTGTTTAACTGTGCCACCATTAAAGTATTCATTTTAGAACTTCACATTCAGTTATCACCGCAAACCTTCATGAGTTTTTATGGGTTTTTATCTGAAAGTATTAAGAGCAGAAAATAAAACTTAAATATATGCCCTCTATTAACATTAATTTGTAGAAGAAAAAAAAAACAGAAAAGGAAGAAGTTGAATATTTTAATTTCTCAACAACTTTTATTACTTTTCGTTTTTGTTTTGAAGTTTTAATTAAACAAGTGTTATTTTTTTATTTTTTCAAAATAAACTCAGATTTTTTTTTTAGTACCAATACATAATTTATCAGAAAATTATAGTTCCATATTTTCCATTAGTGCACCTAAAACCGTTTTTTAAAGTTTTTATGACAATAAAACTTGTTTTTCTAGAGCGTCGGAAAATGTGACGTATGATCACCTGACGCAACTGAAAAAAAAAAAACCCGGAAGTAAGCTGCCGTTTTCCTAGCATGCTAAGCTAACTCATTTCGTATGCTGCTGGAAGGCGACATGGGGGCTGTATTTCACAGCCTTTAGTGATCGTAGCGGTGCATGCTAATAATTCTAATCAGACTGAAATCTGAGAGTTTCCTTTTTATTACGGTAAGTAGTTCGGGGACTTTAAACGGGCTATTTTTTATAAAACATTGTTGTAACGCCGCTGTCTACTTGCGCAAAACTGGTGGCTAGTTTGATAGCTTGAGTATATCTCCCAGCAAAATACCTTTTATTTTGTGATAGCACTACATAAGCTTAATGTCAGTTAAATGATCATATCGTATATTAGATGATTGTCTCAAAAATATATTTATTTGCTTGGAAAAAATGCAATTGTTCGACCGGTATTAACGTTTGCATTCAGGCTACAAAAAGACGGCTTACTTTGCTAACCCCCAAAACATTTCACTATCTGACCTGCCTGTTGAAGTAAAACAAAGTGAAACCTTCTCTTTTTCAACTTGACACCTAAAAATATGCTTGAAGTTATGAGTCGTTTAGCTACGTCATGTTTTCAACCGTTTTATTAATGTTTGACGTGTCTTGCCAGGAAGTGTCTGCAGGTGGTTGCCCTTTAAAATGGTCATCTTATTCATTAGCGCGTGCGTTTTCACAGAGGTTCAATTCCCCTTTAAGATCACTAGAGGACATTAGTTTATACATATAAATTACCCCAATTCAAGTGCCTGGAAAATCATCAGTCTTATTACTGTTTTTCTGTCCGTTTTTCGGCCTCATCAGATCCCAATACCAAATATTATTTATTTTGTGTGAAGTTAAATGTCAAGTTTAAAAGATGACAACACTAAAATTTTAAAGGCAACCTTTTATGATTTATAAAATAGGTTTGCAGCCTAACAGACATTTTATTTGTAGCTCTGTAACACAAATTTCCCATCAGTGTTATCTTTATGTGTAAGAAGATGCTGTCCTCTTTTTTTTGTGTGTAAATGCTTTTTTCCCCCTTTTTTTAAAGCCAGCAGTGTGCAGGGACATGAGAGGCAGTGCCCTTGTTGGTATATGTTTAAAACGTAGAACCCAAAATTTCAGACACTGATGCTTCTTTTGGCTTCTCATCAAAATGACTTCAAACCATAGGAATATTATCTCAGAAAAATTAGCAACTTTGAGACTCTTAGCTTTTTAAACTTTCTATACCTGGATCACAGATATCGTGATGCCAGAAAAATTCTTATGGAGCAGTTTACCTTTTGAAGAACTAGACTGGACACTATAAAAATAAAAAGGTGTTTCTTTGCAAACATAATGTTGTGTGGTCGGACTTACCTCAACTCACTGTGTTATTTATTTCTGCTCTGTTTTGGAAATGAGCCTCAATGCAGGTGGGTGCTTTGATGTGCAAATTCTCTTGCAGGTGCCTTAGAGTCCTTGTCTCATGAATTGTGGAGCTTTTTATTTGACAAAAGCAGCACAGCTGTCTCTATCTGGCGCCCCCCTCTGTGTGCGGACTGTTTAAATTGCTTATCTGACTCAGTGTTTACCATGTTTTACCTCAGCTGCTGGGTCCAGTCTCACCATGGAGTCGATGCTGAACAAATTGAAAAGCACCGTCACTAAAGTGACGGCAGATGTCACCAGCGCTGTTATGGGCAACCCGGTGACACGGGAATTCGAGGTTGGCCGACATATTGCCAGTGGAGGTCCCGGTTTATGCTGGAGGATCTATAACGGCACCAAGAAGTCCACCAAACAGGTTTGCATGGGATTACAACCCCCTGAGCGCCAAGTCTCTTTGTCTAAATTAATGTTTGACTGTCTGCACATATCTCCACAGCTGCTTCTAATCTCAGTTTTTATGTGTCTCTCTAGGAAGTCGCAGTGTTTGTGTTTGATAAGAAGATGATCGACAAGTATCAGAAATTTGAGAAGGACCAGATCATCGATTCCTTAAAAAGAGGGGTGCAACAGCTGACTAGACTGCGTCACCCGCGCCTCCTGACTGTGCAGCATCCTCTGGAAGAGTCCCGGTGATTACCACAGACAATGATGCATTCACTCTGTATTGTTATCAAGGACAAACAAAATGAGTCACAGCTGTAAAAGTATTGCAGAACAAAGCCATTTATCTGGCTGTGTGTTTATTGTATAATTGATTGTTTTAAGGTCAACTAGAATTAAACCTATTTTTTTTTTTTTTTTTTTTTTTTTGTCTGGCCTCCAGAGACTGCTTGGCATTCTGCACAGAACCAGTGTTTGCTAGTCTGTCCAACGTGTTGGGCCAGTGGGACAACCTGCCCAGCCCTGTGCCCAAAGACATCAAAGAATACAAACTATATGATGTGGAGACCAAATATGGCTTACTGCAGGTGAGACGGAACGATTAAGGTCAATACTGATTAATTAAGCTGTCATGATTAACTAGACCAGGATTTTTTATGCCCTTTTAAATTCCAGAGTGTTATTTTTATTTGGGCAATAAATTTAAACACAGGGCTTTATCACTGATGATTTATTGAGTGGATTTTATCTGGGCTCCAATCAGCTGCTCAGTTTCAGAACCCTCAATTTTCTCCCATGGATCTAAGTATTTGTAAGCTGTGATGCAGAAAACCAGTAAAACCAGATCAATTACAAGCCTCACCTTTTTTCTGTCATTAATGTGACCCTGTTTGACAGGCTGGAATGCCCGGCCATTCTCTCCTAAGTAGTATCCTTTCAGTTTAGCTTATATTCATCAAGATAACTTGGCCCCTCCTTCATGTTGGCTGCATTCTTCAAGAGAAGCTTTATTATTTCTTGTTTTAGGTTTAATATTTCACCTGTAGTTAATCCAGTTCACTTCCTTTATAGATTTATTCAACTTTTTTACATGATATTGTGTTGGATTTTTCTCCTGGTTAATGAAAACCAATCAGCTTAGTTTCGTTTATTTTGTCCCCTCAGATGTCGGAGGGTTTGTCATTTCTTCACAGCGGGGTTAAGATGGTTCATGGTAACTTATGTCCAGAGAATATTATCCTGAATAAGAGCGGCGCCTGGAAGATCATGGGCTTTGACTTTAGCATATCTTCAAACAACCCGGCAGACGCAGAGGTTCCTTTTATTTTGTTAAAAGTTGTATAATTTGTTCATTTATTACCTCCTTGTTTTAATTAACATCCTGTTTTGTTTTGCTTTCAGCCAAAGTACACGTGTAAAGAGTGGGAGCCCAGCCTGCCACCCCTCTGCCTCCCTAACCCTGAATACCTGGCCCCTGAGTACATCCTGTCTGTCAGCTGCGACTCGGCCTCAGACATGTACTCTCTCGGCGTTGTAATGCATGCCGTTTTCAACGAAGGCAAACCTGTAATCCAAGTCAACAAGCACGATATTTTTAAGAGTTTCAGCAGACAGCTGGATCAGGTGAGTGCAGCTCAGATTATAAAGGCCTGTGTGTTTGTTTTATTTTTCTGTATTTGTTTTAACATAACTGTTAAATCTGTAGCTGAGCAATATGAGTCCATCCCTGCTCAGTAAGGTTCCAGAGGAGGTGCGGGAACACGTCAAGATGTTGCTCAGTGTCTCTCCAAATGTTCGTCCTGATGCAGACCAGATGACAAAGGTTTGCTCTTCTAGCCGATAAAGATGATTAAAAATTGGATCACTTCTGATTTTCTTGTCTGACAGGTTCCATGTGTTTCCTTCTAATATAGATTCCATTTTTTGATGATGTTGGGGCTGTAACATTGCAGTACTTTGATACCCTCTTCCAAAGGGACAACCTGCAGAAATCTCAGTTCTACAAAGGGTTACCCAAAGTGCTGCCAAAGCTACCAAAGGTAAACCTGTTTTATAGAACTGTGGAGTAAACCTGGTACACATTTAAAAGGAATGATTGAATCAGTAACAGATCAAACCTGGATTTTCTCTATTCTCTTGAACCCATATCTTTTTTTTCCTCCCCCTCCAGAGAGTTGTTGTGTACCGCATATTGCCTGCGTTGACCTCAGAGTTTGTCAACCCAGACATGGTTCCGTTCGTGTTGCCCAATGTGCTGCTGATTGCAGAGGAGTGCACCAAGGAGGAGTATGTTCGCCTCATCCTGCCTGACCTCTCGCCTGTTTTTAAGCAGCAGGAGCCTCTCCAGGTAAAAGCAATCAAAGGCGTGGGTGATGCTCTGCATGGATTTAAACTACTGGTTATTCATGTTTCCTATAATATCTGGAAGAATCAGACGGAAGTGTTTTAGAGCTCTGGAAAAGTTTTGGAAGTAAAAAAATGGATCAGAAAATGGATCTCTTGCATAAAAGTCATTGGTCCATCTATTTAAAGCCTTACTGCTGTAGAAATATCTGCCAAATATTTATAAAATTTAGGATTTCCATTAAACATGTCATAAAAACAGCTTAAACTCTGGAAGTTTTAGTTTGCAAAACTGGCAATTTGATATAAAAATATGTTTAAATGGTTTAAAAATTAAGTTTTGTCTGATTTTTCTCAAGAAACTCGAGAGATGATATGCATGTTTTAAAACTGTAACCTGACTAAATGGCCTGCTGCTTTGGGTGAACTGTCCTTTTTAAATCATATCTCTATTTTTCTTTCCATGCCTCTTCAGGCTAGTAATATGGTGAGTGTTCTCCCTGTGGTGACATGTCCCGGTCATATCAGCTAAAGCTAGACTTTGCTACATCTTTAGCACTAACATCTGAACTAAGCGCACTGAAATCATATCCCGTGGTCACATCTAACTATCCTCATACTCCTCAGTTTGAGACAGACTGCTGTTGTGTGGATTTTCACTCTTGGTTTCCTGACTGTTGGTTCTGCTCAGATCCTCCTAATATTCCTGCAAAAGATGGACCTGCTTCTGACGAAGACGCCAGCAGACGATATCAAGAACAGCGTTCTTCCCATGGTCTACAGGGCTGTGGAAGCTTCCTCAGTACAGATCCAGGTAGGGAAAGGAAACCTTTTTCTGGGTTTACAGTTATTTCTAAAAAAAAAATTATATATGTTGGGATACTTTATTAACCTGACTCCGCCAGATAGATTTGCTCGGCATATTCATCTGGAAACCTTCCGTTGAAGTAATTTTGGGAAGGGGCGAAAATACTGGTTAGCTGATTGGCCTATGTTGGTGATAGATGGGCCAAATAAGCCAATCAGATCAACGAAGCATATGACGTACTAACAGAGCGACGACGAAAACATAACCACAAGCCAGGCACAAGCCAATTGATAGATCAAACTCTTGACGAAACCAGTCGGGAGAAGAGCAAAAACATCTTTTCCTCTGAGAAAAGCCTCCAGAGCAGTGTTTTGCTCTTCTTTCAGTGAAGAAATACTCTGTAATTCCGATAAAACTTGCTCGATAGCCACGCTAATGCTAGTTTCATCGGCTGAAGCCGCCATGTTCTTTAGACTGAACTGTCGCGCTTCTCGTTGCGTCACACCTCAACCCGCCTCAAAGCCAACGCTGATTGGACGTTCGTTTGGTGAACAGCTCCAAATTTTCTTTAACGGAGAGTAGCCAGACTGATCTGCGAGTGAAACCTTGAAAGCTCACGAGATCAGGATGGTCTCACGAGGCTAATACTTTATTGCTTTAATTGTTTGATTCAAAAGTGAAGTACAAGTACTATCATCAGATTGGTCTATATTTGTTAATTTCATTATGTTTTCATACGTCTTCCTTTCACTAAACTTTCCTTGTTTGCAACCTTCTTTAAATGAGCAGCCTTTGTATTAATCATAATGTTCTTAGTTGCTGAATTTTGGCTCATAAGCAGGAAGCCATAGCGCATATTATATACGGTACAATTTTTTTGTTTCTTTTTTTTTGGCTGAATTGTTGAAGTAAAAACTTTTTTTCCTGTAATTAGATCATGCATGTTAGGACAGAGGCTGTTTGAAAATATTTGGTCACTGTTCCAAATATGCTGTCTTGCTTTGAAGTTCATTCTATAAGAACCTGTCTCTATATTTCCTTGGCCTTATCTTGAGAGGACGAGGTGTTCAGATGCTGTACTTGGTAAAATCGTAAAAGGGTTGGAATTTATAACATCTTATTCTTGGCTGATCAGGAGCTGTGCTTGAACATCATCCCAACATTTGCCAACCTGATAGACTACCCATCCATGAAGAATTCTCTCATCCCGCGCATCAAATCAGCCTGCCTACAGACGTCCTCTCTCGCTGTGAGTTATCCACATGCAGCTTCCTTCTGAGTCCTCGTTGGTTTTTGTTTTCTTTAAGCTGACTAATCTACCTCCTATGTTCTAGGTGCGAGTAAACTCCCTGGTGTGTCTGGGAAAGATTTTGGAGTATCTGGATAAGTGGTATGTCATCGACGAGATCCTTCCCTTCCTGCAACAGATCCCCTCTAGAGAACCGGCTGTACTGATGGGCATTTTAGGTAAACAAACGAGCAAACCTCACCCTTTCTGACAAAAATGATGGATGTTAATTAAATAATTCCCTGTTATTTTAGGAATCTATAAATGCACGTTCACCCACAAGAAGCTTGGCATCCCCAAAGAGCACCTCGCCACAAAGAGTTTACCCCACCTGGTCTCCCTTAGTATAGATAATAACCTCAATCTAAATCAGGTACAAAGCTGATATAAACATGGATGCATTTTTATAAAAGTGGTATTTATTTTTCTACTAACCTTTCTGCTTTTTTTCCTCTTAGTTTAATTCTTTTATGTTGGTAATCCGAGATATGCTGAACCGCATGGAGGCTGAACACAAAACCAAACTGGAGCAGCTGCATATCATGCAGGAGCAGCACAGGTTCCTTTACATTTAAAGCAGTGATTAATAGTAATTTTCGGAATATTTATTTGATGGGATTTTAATTTAGCTTTTATCTCGATTTTCCACAACAGAAGTCTAAACATCACAAATCCAGGGAACTCAACCGAAGAGACTAAAAGCCCCCCCACCTCTGCAAACCAGGTAATGAGATGTTTACGTTTAAAACGCTGAAATGTCATTAAGAAACTGCAGCAGTGTGGGGTTCATGCTGATTACCTTCTTCTTGTTAGATTGACGACATATTTGGCAGCACGAGTGTTAATGGGAAAGAAAATGGATCTGCAACAACAGCGACGTCGCAGCCTAATAGGGTAAACATGTGACTTTGAAATTCATTACAGCTTCCTCTACGCTTACTGACAGTTATAAAAACCTTCAACAAAACGTAACATTTATTAAAGTATCATAATGTCACACTGAGCGTCGCACCAACTAAAAAAAAAAACATTAGAGACGTTTTTTGAAAGGTCAGTGTCTCCACTATTATTAGCTCTCCTTGTATTTTAAATGTCATGCATTCAATTTATGCAATCCTATAATATGTCTGACCTGTTGAAAAGTCTGAAAAACACTAGATGTATCTTTTGAATCGCCCTTATGACAAAGGAAAGGTTTAAAAAAAAAAAAGAGAAAGCCAGACTTTGGGCTGATCATTAAAACCATCAATACAATATTCAGCACAAAGTTTAATTTCCTTCATTTTTCAACGAAGCTTCTGCTGCAGTAAAAGCTGAATAGTTTCAAAGCTTTTTAAAACTTTAACATGGATGACGACAGATATAAGGGGTGCTGAATGTGATCCAGGTACTTCCCCGTGTCTCCTTCAGGTATCTCTGACGCTAGAGGAGAAACAAAGATTAGCCAAGGAGCAGGAGCAGGCAGCTAAACTGAGGAGCCAGCAGCCTTTAGCGCCTCAGGCCATCAAGCCAGCTACCTCTAGCAGCTCAAAGGTGAGACCGAAATCACTTTCCCAAACAAAGAACACAGATTTACCAGAACGTCTTGGGATTTAATTCTCCTCTCTCCATCACAGACTAAAGATCTGACCAGCAGCCTGCTCAACAACATGACATCACTAAACAGCCTGTCTTTAGGAAGCTCAGTGAGACCTCCTCCAGTGCAAGGCACCACCATGGCTGCCTTCCCCTCCTCTGGTCCTATGGTGGGTCCAGTCTCTAATGGATTCAACCCAAGCATGGGTTTCCAATCAGCAGGCCTTGGGATGGGGATGCGACCTTCGGGCCCAGGCCTCTATGGAGGAATGGCGGCCACCACCAGTGCACCAAACTTCGGGGCCCTTTCGCAGAATCAAGGACCATCTGGGCTGACGAACAGAGCGCCTAACATGTCGGCCCTGGACAACCTGTTTACAGCCAACAAGCCCAAAGTCCCTCTCAACCAAATAGGTTCCCAGGCTGCATCTGGAGGCAGCACCCCCTGGGTGAGTCAGTTTGGTCCGGGTCAGAACGCGCAGACTCAGATGCAGGGCGCGGCGGTAGGGATGGGAGGGATGCCCGCCGGGTTTGGGATGCAGGCAAATCCTTTTTTCAGCCCGCAGAACTTTTCTCAACCAGGCGCCGCCCCGAGTATGAACCCCAGCGGAGTCAAACAGAGCGCATCCGTCAACAACGATCTGCAGGACTTATTCGGTTGAAAAAGAGGTGAAGAAGGACCACTGATGAAGTATATTCTTTCAAAGACTGTAGAGAGAAGAGCTTTGGATTATCACAGGACACTGTATGACTGTGGAGCACTTTCAGAGGTGTTTTGTATTTTTAATCTCGTCTAATTTAACGTCTCGTGCTGAAGTTCTGCTGGAAAATGAAAGCTGTACCAACAGTTGGGTGTGGGTACTGCTACTTTTACGTTTCGGTCTTTCAGTGCTGGGGGGTTTCCTACTGTTTTTCTACTTTCCCAGACAAATATATTGGGTCAGGAGGAGTCTGATCTCAGATCATTCTTGAATATACTAGAGAAAGGAGAGTATTTTACCTAAAGAACAACATATTTTCATTTTCATACCTTGGATATATAAAGGATCTGTAGTTTTAGATGCAGTCCTTCCTCACTTCACCTGTTATGTTTATTTAACGATCAACTCAACAATCTTGGGGGTCATTCATTCTTAATGTGACCAAACTCGCCTCGCCTCCATTCCTTCAGTCAGCCTCCGTTTGCTACCATTTCATTAGCTTTGCAGGTAATTATTGTAGTTTCTATTATTGGAGAGTGAGACTCCCTTCTGGGCGGGATCTTTGTGGAAGAGCTGTTACTGCTGTGTTTTAGGGAATCCCAACGCTTAAGGCAGTTTGAAAAACATATGTGCATATTTTGTGCCTTACAATGGTATAAGTCTGCAGCTCAGCAATGGTAGGGATAGTCCAGGGCGAAATACACTTAGCTTAACTATTTTTTGAATAAAATACCATTATTCCTTGTATAAACACAAAGAAAGCAGAAAGTTATGTTACTGTTGGTGAAAAGAGGAACATCAATGATTCCTACTGCTGCTAGAAGGAGCTTTTGGTTGGTTGTGAGTGGAGTAATTGGTATTAAACAGGTAAAAACAAATGATTAGAGTTGACATTTGGAAGATTTGATGCCTTGCATTAGAGATCAGAGATGTTAGTATTGTTTAATTAACAATATCCATAAATAATTCCATAGAATTTAAACCCCTACAATATGTTAGAGGAAAAAAAACAGGGATTTTGCTTCACTTGTTGGGTTTTAGTTCCTTCTAGTCTTGATTTATGAAGCTCTAATTACCAATATAGACCTCACAATGTCTCTACATTATGTAAAAGTTGGCATTCCTTTCAAAATCTTTAGAATCCCTCCTTTTTATCATCTCAGTGATATTAAAGAAAAGTGTTTTCTTTCGCTCAGTAAAAACGTCTTTACTGAGTGTTTTATCGCCACATCCTGGAAGCTGGGAGATGATTTAATGGTTAGATTAGCAGTTTCCTCTTAGCAGCTGATTTCTCTATGAGTTGCTGTAACATTTATTGATTATTTAATTAACGCATAGGTTTTTCCACAAATGTCGAGTAGACACCAAAACTCGCAACAGGAAAAGTGTAGCAGTCTACTTCAACCAGCTGACCGGGAGTGCTCAGCAACAAGTGGGGGTGGGACATTGTTGCTTAATCTATACAACTGGAAAAACCTCCTTTTGTTCCTCGCTCTAGCATTGCTTCCATTGGCTTCAGGAACAACATAATGGAGGATTTTATTGATTTATTGAAGCTGTAATCTTTTTAATATCTGGACATATCCTGATGGGCTAACCGGCCCATTCCTACATAAGGATATTCTTCCAATGTGTTTGACTTGCTTTGTAACATTTCACTGATATCAATGATCAGTGATCAGATATTGACCAGTTGATATTTACACATCATCTCTGCTCAGAAACCACATGGACCGCATCAGCATCCAAGGCTTTATCTTCCTAATCTGTCGCATCTCAGCCTGTTGATCATGTGTGTTAGTATAAAGTGTAAAGCAAAGCTCCATTAGGGCCTTTAGATTATTTCTCTTTTGTGATTCTGGGTAAGAGGCCTTAGATGAGTTGAGTGCAATAATCCTTTGCGGTTCTTAAAGGGTACAAATTGTCTGAACAAGCTTTTGTTGCGTCTGCAACTTTCTCTGCTGACCTGCAATAACATCACTGTCCTGATAGGTTTTTATTAACGACTGGATATTAATGTATATTCACTCTGAATTAAACTTTTTTTTGTATTTTAGATGCACCTTGCTCACAATGGTTCTGCTGATTGTGCTTTAAAATAAACTTCTCTTTAGGTTTTGTTCATTTCCACATCAATGCGTTTCAACCAGTTTTTGCTAATCTGATGTAATTATCAGTTTTATTTTCCAAACTGTAGCAGAGCCCCCAAAGTGAACAGAAATGAACTTTGACTATCTGTAAATTACTGCTGTCCTGTTTGTGAAGTGTGATGTTTGTTTTTGTTCAGTTGCTGCTTTCTGAAGGTCTGTACATATATAAAAACATACAATCTAATCTATTCTCAAATGATGGTTACTGTTTTTGTCATTTTTAAAAATTTGATTAGCATTTCTTGTTGGCTAATAACAGATAAAATAAAATAAAAATGGATTTTAATAAAAAGTAAACTGCAAAGAGAATATTTTTTGTTTATGGCAGATTTATTAAAGATGTTTGAGGTTATTAAAAATACAAAACATGCAAATGTTACCTCTATCTGTAGCATCATCAATGTTTACCCAAGAACCCAGTTTAGTTAAATAACATGATGCTTATTAGCAAGAGCTATTTTACAGGAGCAATGGGTCTAATCCATATGAGACTGTCTAGATTACAGGTTGTTTTCAATTAAAAAAACTTTAGAGCTACAGACTTAGAACAAATATGACGTTTTTCAGCTTCTAGATATCTAAAACAATAACAAATCCATGAAGCTACCTCCCTACTTGCTCCTTTTCTTATTCAGTCTCAATTTTTATCTACATCTTCAGTATTTTATTCTTAAAATAACCAAGATCTGCCAGAAACTGAATGTATTTTTTACACTTTAAAATCAGGATATAGTACAAACCATTAGAATTTGACATAAACCTTAAGAGCCCTTTGAAAATTACATTTATAAAAAATGTGCAGAAAGTAAACCTGAAAACCTTAAAGTTGATGGGAAGCAGATTAGCATCTCAACTCCATTAATGCTTGCATTCCTGTAAACGCTTCAATCAATTTAAAGCAGCTTATAATATGTGCAAAGATTTTTCCTCACTCCGAACAGGTCGTCCTGGTCACTGGAGGACTCGTTTCACTGACCTGATGGTGTTTGTGGACAGGTTCCTCTGAGTCATGGCTGCAACAGGACAAGGGGATAACAAATCCTGTTCACATATCTAAAACATTAAGCTGTCATCTTACATAACCAATGTGGAAATCTTATTTTCTGCTCACCTGACAGGTTGAGCTCATAACTAAATCTGGCGGTGTTAAAAAACATGGTGGCTGATGGGTTCTGCTGGTACTGGAGTTCGATCTCTGCACTTGTAATGGTGCACTGACCAAAACTCTGCATGGCAACAGAAACGAGTTACAGTATAAACTAAATGTAATGTTTTAGTCTTTTTCTTGCTGTCCTTTAGCAGCACATGTTGCTGATCAGTAAAAGAAAAGTCTTACTTTGGAATAATCTTTCCATATCCCATCGATATCTTTAAACTGCCAACGAACATTTGTGCCTAAACTAAAGAAGACAAAGCAATGAATCAAAGGATAAAAGACGTATTTCAATTGAATTATACAGATCAGCCAATTTAGTGAATGCATTTTAAACTTTTTGTTTCCTTACCTGCTGCTTCTCTGAGCACTATCATCTGGACTCCTCCTCACGCTTCTTTTTGTCCCGATATTATTATTAACTTGAAACATACCTGCAATGAATGTCGCTTTAAAGACGCTTCATACTACATAGAGGGAATGACTGAAAAAGAAATGTTGCATTACTTGCTAAATCCAGCGTATATGAGAAATGTCTAGTGTGGAACTGGATCTGGCCCTGTGGGTTCTGCTGGTATTGTTTCTCGATGGCACTGCTGTCAAGTGAACATATCTGCAAACATGCAAATAGAAATGATGTCTCATTCACTGCATCAAAATAAACACAATTTGAAGAAATATGTCTTTTTTTGATGATGAAAACACAAACTTCATACTTTATATAGATTTTTTTTAATAGACAAAAGCAAATGCCCTAATCTAGGTGGAAGGAAAATGAAACTTGTGTTTAAAAAAAAAAACAAAATCTGCATTTATATTCAGTCCTCATTTCTTGGATGATCCTAAATAAAATTCTAGTAAAGACTTAGCAGGTTCTCTTTATTTCATCCTCTGCAAATTAAAATAGTATAGCACAACTTAACTTACACTTTTTAAAAATCTTAAAAACTTATGATTTTTCTGTCACTTAACTTATTTTTACTACCAGTTTATCTCATAAAATGTCTACCAAATTCGTTATTTACATTTACTTCAGTAACTTTTCTAATGTACTTTTAGAAGCTGTTTTACTGTACCATACTTTTTGCTTTTATTTGAGTGAAATGCTGTATTAGTAATATATATTGCTACTCTAACAAAATATTTGGCTACTCAATCCAGAGTTAGTAACCTGAATAAATTAACACAAGTTTGCTTTAAACGGTAATTCTCCACACGACAAAGTCAAATTTCATGTCAAAATGAGAGTTAATTTTTTCGTCCATTATAAGTTTTATGGTAAAAATATTGGTTTGGAAAATCACTTGCAATCATTATTTGTTTTAATTAAAGACTTCAAATACCTGGATGTGGTCTGATTGCATAATTTCAAATAGTAAATCAAATGTTATGAGCTACTCAGTACTAGACTAGCCCTTTTACCAAATACTTTTGTACTCTTACTTAGGTACAATATTTGGGTACTTTGCCCAACTCTCAATAAAACATAAACATAATACATAAAACACAATAAATAGCTGCAGCTGTGATGAGACTTTTTCTCCTCAATTAGACTACAAAATATCACTGTTGAGTCTCGCTGATTATAAAGAGGAATGAATATAACATTACATCATGATTATACTTTAATAATAACAGTATAAATGAAAGGCTGGTTTTTATAGCTGAGCTCTGTTAGATAGTAAAGTTTTTAGCTTGTTGTTGTACTCACATGCGCCTGGTATTCTGTCCATTGTCCTTCTTCTCCCATGAATTCCCACTTAAAGCTTTGGTTATGGAGGAGGGGTTGTGAAGCGAGAGGCAGGGGTGGGGATGAGTTAATGCTGCTGCGACAAGAAGTGGAGTGTTTGGAAAGTTTGACTTATTTTGCAGGATAAGCACTGAACTAAGGTTTATTTAAAAAAGGAAATTTCATACCTAGTTTCGCTTAAAGTAAACTTAGGTCTCCTGCGCACATTTCTGCGTAAGCCAGTGGTTTGGTTGGTTTGTGTCATGGCTGCAAATTTATAAACCTTTAGTGACATTTAAATACATCTATGTACGATTTTATCTAGTAGCTCCCATTAATAACACCTACTGGAAAAGTCCAGGGAATAAGTAATCTGGCCGACGCTGAATTGAAGGACTCCCTGAGGATTCTGAGTGAAATGTGTCTCAATGTCTTTGCTGTTGATTGATGATGAGGACATGTTTGAGCTCTGATGATGAGAAGGAAAATGGTGGGGAGGGAGACGGGGGGTTAGTTAAGTCAAATACAAAGGAAAAGAAATCAAAATTGTGAATTAATATCAATTCAGAAGAAAGAGTAATAGTCACTTGTGAATATTTTTTTTATTACAAATGTCTTTTTAAAATGGGGGAGCAGTAGATTACTGGAAATAATTAATCTCCGATAATTCACTGAGCACATTGATTTTCTGTTAAACCTTTAAAATATTCTGCTGTTTCAAAGATTTTTTGATGCAAAGCACTCTAACAAATTTTTCTGGATCTATGATCTGATTCTGGGCCATTGCATCTTATAGCACCAGCTTTACTGGGGTATAAGTGGTTTTTCCATGTGTTCTTTTTTGTTGCAAGCCAGAGTCACCTATAACTGCAAGAACAGATTGATATTTTACGTAGTCCTTCTGCCCATACACTTCTTCATCCCTGTAAACTAAGCATAGAATATTTACAATGTTTCTCACCTGTGATCCATATTCACGCCACAGGTTATCGTCTCTGAAGTACCAGCCGATGTCCTCAGTCTGACCTTGAGGAAAAAAGCTCAGTCTCTGCACCCTAAGTGCTGCGTTATCAGTTTTCAGCTCATCGAAGTCTATAAAAACCTTCCTATGAATGGAGAGATGATGCATTTTAGTATATTTTCTATGTTCCTTGTAAACGAATGGTCAAACCTATTTTCTGTGAATATGAAAATACAAACCCTAAGCTTGTGTTGATGGTGATTCCCTTTGCTCCGGCCTGACAGTAGTGAGTCTCAATCACATGATCGTTCTCTATTTTCAGCCACTGATTGCCATTCAACAGCTGCCACTCATAATGATTCCCACTCACTGAGAAACACAGAGATTGTGAACTTATTGTGCGTTAATATAATCTTTCTTGACAAATCTATAGATAAAGAGAAACAGATTTCATTGTATAACTCTGAACCTTTGGGGCTGTTCCTTTACAACCTAACAGGCAAATTCTGGTTCTCAGACTAAAGATACAAGACAAAATAATTACATAAATAAATTAAGAGGGGAGTTTAAGCACAAACAGGATTTCACCAGACATTTTAAAATAATAATAAAACGTGAAATAACTCACTTACTTTTGCTCAAACCTTCAACCAGCTACGCTGTATAACCAGTTTCACTTTCTTTTCTCTTTCCTCATAACAGAAACCAGTGATGAGTGCAGAGGGAGGGGCAAAAACGTTTCTCTTAGTGGTTCTTGATAAGATCTCTTGCAAGAGTAGCTTTATGGATGTTGTATGTGGAAAAAAAGAAGAAATAAATGCTTGAAATCACAAGTCTGCTTTTAACTCATTTAAATATAAATGCTTCATGTTGTCACAAACAGAAGAAAGGTTTTGTAAACCTCAAACTTAATTAAAAAAAATCCATTAAGGCCTGGTTTGGGTATGGGAAGTTGTTATAATAAACACTGCCTGTCCAAAAAAAAAGTCGCCACCAAAAAAAAGGTCATTCACTGTAATATTTTGTTGGACCGCCTTTAGCTTTGATTACGGTACGCATTCGCTGTGGCATTGTTTCGACAAGCTTCTGCAATGTCAAAAGATTTATTTCCATCCAGTGATGCATTAATTTTTCACCAAGATCTTGCATTGATGAT